TGTGTGATAAGCTTCTTCACACTTTCTCAGGCATGTTTTTCCAGTTCTTTTCTCACAAACAGGGAAGCTGGGTGAGTGTCTGGGTTTGATTCAAGAGGCTCAATTCCAGTGTTTCCACCACCCCTGCCTCACAGGACACAGACTGCAATCCCAGCCCCATCCCAGGCCCCTTTCTGGGATTACATCTCAGGAGCTACTGCAGCTGGAACTCGTGCTGATCCCCTGGCTGGAATTCCTTCTTAGTTCTTGGGGCTCAGGGGATCTCCTTTCTTTTGTTTTCATCCAAGCTCAACTATGCACTGAAATAAATTTTGTTACAAATTGTACAGTATTTTATTTATTCTTATTGGGCATGGGACAGGGGTCAACTCAGTCTTCCACCTGGGGTAAGAGAGGAGCAGTATTCTGTCTCTTACCCTAGAGACTGTTTCCTGACTTCCACTAAAACTCTAACCATATTCAGGTCCTAGAAGACGGACTGGCTGGAGTTGAGTCTGTTTTCCTTCAAATCTTAGTTGAACTTTTTAGTTCTTAAGCAACAATAATCACTGAAAACCACAAATAGCAATCAGAAAAGACCATTTTTATACAAAGCATTCAATTAAGAAGGTATGGTCTCAGAGAGACGGGGTGGCAGCCCTCTTTGAAGAGGTGGTGCCCTTCCCCTCCACAGAGAGCAGGAACAGGGCTGGGGGTACTTTCTAAGCTCTTCAATATGCAATTTCAAGAACCCCAGAATTGTTAAGAGGTCTTAAAATGTCAAGACGACACACGTTCAATTAAGGTTAAAAACAAAAAACCACTAACGAGACCGCATTGTTTTGAGTCACTTGTGGGAAAAATCTTGAATATCTTACATTTAAAAATCAAGAACTTCATGCTACTAACTTCAGGAAAACTTTCCCAATATCTTGATTGTGAGTTATGAAGGGAGAAGAGATGGCCTGGGTTCCTCCTACCTGTGATAAAATATAAGATTCTGTTCGTCTTCCCAAAATGCTCAAATACAAGATTCTGTTCGTCTTCCCAGAATTCCCAGGGCAGCATGCAGATTGTGTTTTCCAATGACCAAAGTAAAAACAACAAAAATGAAAACAGATTTAGAAAGAAAATCTCATACCTTAAACTACTTAGTTTTTTTTAAGACTTGAATTTTGCTTTTAGCCTGGAATTTCTAAAACATTACCCAAATAATCCAATATATATATTTCTGCCATCACAAATCATCTATTGTGTCTTAAAATTCCAATCTTAAGGCCTCTATTGCTAAAGAATCTTTCATGTCAATGTATCCCAACATTTTTGTAGCATTTTCTCATGCTACATTTATATAGTAATACTAATAGCTTATTTTATTTCTTAGTTTTAATGGGGGCAAATAACACAGATCTAAGACACTGTTATTCCATCGCTGTGGATTTCAGATACGTTCTCCCGGCCCCGCCAGGCATCATTATCTGTCTTCCCACCTCGGAAAATCTATCTGCTATGGTAACAAATCAAGCCACAAAAATGTAAACCAACAGACAAATCCATGAACTGACATCTGTGACCCCACCCAATGTCCATAAATTTTCCCGTGTTCTAGTTAAAAAGCAAGTAGTATCATGCATCTGTCAATAAAGTTTAAAAAGAATCATGTACTCTTAAATTATTTTCCTATGTTAAACTGACAGATTATATGACACACGAATTTTTGCTGTGTCAAGATAAACCAGTCTGCCATCTTATCGCTCTAGAGTATGTGGTTACTGCCTTTAGCTAAAAGGTAACAGGAATCACTAAGAAAATGATACAAATTGAGACCATCTTAGTATTAAATTGGCAGATTATTATGACAACTGACATTGTTCTTAGTAAATTTATGATTATTATTAGGAGAGGACTCTGAAAGCAGAACCTGCAGAAACTGCACTCCTGTTAAAGGCATCGAGACCCTCGTTAAGCAAACTGCCGCTCCATTTTCACGCCACGCTGCATTTCAAGGATTTAGAGTTGGGCTGTCTGCATATTCTTGGTAGGAACAAAGGTACCAATAAATAACAATCAATCTATTAAACATTTTTATCTCATGAAAACATAGTCTCACAAGTTTCAAAATCTTGTACTACAGAACATGTAAGTAATCTGCGTATTGAGATCATGATCTACATTTTATATATAATTAAAATTTTAAGTTCTCTGAAAAATAGGCCACACCACTGCAGAGCCTCCCCAGCTGTAGAATTCTGAGGTCTCCAGCGTCCGGTAAACTTTGTCCTGGGTCGTGTTTGTTTGACAGATATTATCATCTGAGACCAGGCTAATTATTCAATCTGGATCCAAAGAACTAGCTCTCACTGAAAGAACTAATCATTAAAATGCAAATAGGTGTTTCCCACTTCACTGGCTTAGCCACCGAAGGCTGTTAACAGCTTTCTGACAAGAAAGAGAGACGCTAAATGAGGTGGTGCCTGCACCTTCTGGATGTAATGAGTGCTGCACACCCACATCCACGCCGCGCGCGCTGCCGCCAGCCTCTGGCTGGTCATTTCTGTGCCACGACATTTGTGAGTTAACTCACAGAAGCTGCCTAAGAAATTATCGAACAAAAAGGCTGATTTCAGATTCTACTCTCCGCGCCCAGCCAGCTCTCACTTAGACTAATTACTTAAATGATTTTAAAAATGTATGAATATTCATATGACAGTGCTTTGCAAAAACTAAAACACAGCTGAGACCTCGCCATGAGCCCGTCCTCCTCCCTGATCTGGAGCAACCGCACTCACACGTCTGAAACACCCGGGCAGCTTCAGAGAACTGCGGCCCAGTGGGGAGGGGCAGGCCAGAGCAGTGAGCCCCACTCCCAGCCCCCACTGCCCAGCCCCTCCCCCGCCACCCTTGGCTGGAGAGTCCCCCGACTTCTGCAGGGCTCCCCACCGGACAGGGGGACTTTTCTTATTTGGAGTCCAGTCTGTCTCGTTTTAAATATCCAGAAGCTGACCGGCCCCTAGAGCAGCAAACAGCAGGTCTCTCCCCGTCCCCGCCCCACTGTCACACATTTGCTGTGAGCTGACAGTATGTGTGATGTGGAGGTCGAGCCAAGGTAGGTGGCCAGGGGGAGCGACCCTGAGATTGTCCAGGACCGCACACTCTGGTCTGACGTCTGGTGGTGCCGGGCCTGAAAGGCCACGGACCTGAGGCTGGAGTGCCCCGAGGGAGCCAGCCCACCTCCCCACGCTCTGGACGACTCTGGTAGTCTCAAGTCAGCCTGGGCAAGCCAAGGTCCCTTCTAGAGTCAATCTCAGAAATCATCCAACATCCATCCCTGAGCCAGGACTCCGGGGTGATTTACCAGCCTTCATTCGGTCCAAACCTTTGTCTCCAAAAATCACTGATTCTGACTCACTGGGACCAAACTCTTCTTTTCATGACAACGCTAAGTGGCACGTGACAACAAAACACACCCCACACGGGCCACTGTCCTTGGCAGAGGCAGACATTTGTTACTAGAAACAAGTAGATGAAAAGCAAGATGCAATGTGTTTAAACCACTATTTACAAGGTTTTATATTTCACAATTTCTCTCACACACTGAAAACCCTTGATGGGGGTTGGGGGAAAGAGAATGAAAAATGAACTCAAAGCATGATATGCTTTCCATAGTGGGAATGGCAACGGAAGTTAGAATGATAAGAAATAACAAAGCTTTCAAACACCCAACAGACAGGCTGCAGAATTTCATGATCCTCTGCAGCAGCCTTGGTGTCTCCAGGAGAAAGGACCTGAGGCTTCCCCATCACAGGAGGCCTCTGCCACACCCAGGCCAGCATCCCAGGCTCCACCTGGGAACAGCCCCCACCCACCTGACTCTAAAACATCACATTACTTTTGACTCTGGAAATGCCAGGGATCCAAAGTCTGATGTTTTGCATAAAAGTGAAGCTTAAGATTTTAAAATACACAGTAACTGACTTTATCGTGGATATATCTGTGCATTCCATGCCGACTAAATGACACAGGAAAAAGTTTTAAAACCTTGTCATATTTCCCTTAACCACCAAATGAGGGAATTGAGTGTTTGACAGAAGTTCCAAGTTAACCCTGTACTCACTTTTTATTTTTAAATTGCGGGTCAGAGCCTTTCCAGTGGATGTGACTGAGCTTCTGTGGCCGCAAGTGTACAGAAGCCTTTAACATTCAGCTCTCGGAGTCACAGGTTGGGATCATCTCACCTGTGGGAGCAGAGCCGGCCTGGGCTCTGACCCAAAGGCACACCCCTGGGGTTGGCAGTGTCCCGTGTTCCCCGAGGCTGACTCGTTTTCTAGCCAATTTGCCTCTTTCTGCTGAAAACAGACCTCGAAATCAAAGCTCCAGTTAATTCAGAGTCCCCATTAATAGGGGTCAGGCGTTTACCACATTTTCCTTATTCTTTCCAATTAGACCATCGAAAAATATCACATCAATGCTGGCTTTCACTAATTCCATTCCAAATAGTCAACAAATGACAGACTCAAGGGCCCCGCTTTGCCGCGTGTTTAAAACACATGAGACTTGCGCGGAAAGTGAAATAAGCAACACTGGTGAACGTCACTCGTGGCCAGCAAAGGCCCCACACGCTCTCAGGCTGAGCCACCGACAATCGGGAACGGCTTCCCAGATCCGACTCAGCCAAGGCTCACTGGCACCTTGGGTTCATGCACTTAAAGCCAGTAAGCCTGTATCCGCCTCTGTTACCTTGCAGAGACTGACGGAAATTTATCGATCCAGAACAAAAAAAAATAAAGACAATATTGCAATTTGATGGTAAAGCCAGTTCTTCTTCAGAGATGAGCGGCTCAGTCCTAACGCTCACCCTGCACTTTGCTTCCATTATTTGATTCACGTTCATATCAAACAGCACACAGAAAGGGTCCTCAGTGTTCAAGGTTCTCAACACGTTTCATGGCAGATTGTCACCAGCCACACACCTGTGAGCCGCGCGGCCCCCGCCCACCCCAGGCAGCATGCCAGATACTCACCTTCCGGCTCCCCGCAGAGCGTGCACTGGGACTCTGAAAACAGAGACAGAGAGAAGCGGTTACACCCACAGGGTCTCAACCATGCAGTTAAAGATTCAACAGCAGCAACAACAAAAGTACAACTTTGAGATGATGCCACTCGACCACCAGAGCCGGTGGACCCCCCGTAAACAAAGCCAGCTCTGACCTTGCACGCCAGCAACTTTTATTTCAAAAGCTACCCTTGGCAAATGTTTTACAGATTACATTTTTACTTTTGAGAATTTTAAAAAAAACATTTTTTTTAAGTTCTGGGAGACATGTGCAGAACATGCAGGTTTGTTACACAGGTATACATGTGCCATGGTGGTTTGCTGCACCCATCAATCCATCATCTAGGTTTTAAGCCCCGCATGCAATACGTTATTTGTTCTAATGCTCTCCCTCCCCACTCGCCACCCCTCCCCACCCCCCAACAGGCCCTGGTGTGTGATGTTCCCCTCTGTGTCCATGTGTTCTCACTGTTCAACTCCCACTTATGTGTGAGAACATGTGGTATTACACTTATGTGTAATAACAACCTCTCTGTCATATGCACACAGCAAATATAGTTTTTTAACTGTATATGGCTGAACACAAATTACTTAGATGAAACAAGAATGGTATATTTTATCCCAGTTGCAATATTGAAACCTTGACTTTGGCTACAGCTCCGTTACATCTCCTTTCAGGCACAAGTTATGAGCAAATGTGTATTATCTTTCAGGAAAACACTGAAATCCATGGGTATGGATTGAGTCCCCTGTACGTAGGTCCCTGAGTGACTATGAACTTGGTTCTGTCTGCAGAACAGATATAGACACTTTGGGAGCATTTACAGCTGATCCTCACACAAGGAAGCTGTAGCAAGTGCATAGACACACAAGTCCAAGATCTTCGTGGGAAATAATTCAGCCTTGGGGGCCGGATGGGCCCGGGTTCAAAGCCAGCTTCCATCCACTTTCCTGAGAACATGCGGGCAGGTGACCTAACCCCCAGCCCTGAACTAGTGTCGAGGACCCTGAGCCCACAAGGGTGGGAGGGGAATGAGCAGGTGTGTCAGATATTAAGGCTGCAGGGACAGCGCTGGCCTGCACAGGCCCTCAGAAAGACACTGGCTCCTCTGCACCAGCCACAGAGGCACACACTCTGCCATCCCATGTGACAGCCCAGGGCCCATAGAGGAGACGCCACGTGATGCCATCTGGTCTGAGCCTTGAAGGACAAGCAGGATTTTAAATAGGAATCTGGGGAGGGAGCACAGACGTCCCAGGAAGGGCATGGACAAGGTGGACAGGCAGGGGACAGGCAAGGGACAGCAGCAGCATCTGCCCAGAGGGATGGGGTGGGGTGGGGGGCAGGCAGGGAGGTGAGCGGAGGGCGTTCAGGCGGGAGCGGAACATTGAAAAGGGAGTTGAGGTGTTGTTCAAAATAAAAATTAGGAGGCAACAAGGGATTTTGAGGCAGAGCCTCACAGGCTTTCATGGTTCCTCTGGAAGGTGACCTTGGTGGCTGGGCGGGGCGGGGACAGAGCTCACGCGGGGCCTGCGTGTTTGTGGCCGGTCGGGCTCTGTGGGCGAGTGGGAGAGGGTTCTGGTGGAAAGGAAAGAACATGAATCGTCCTTTAAAACTGTGACTGAGCTCTACTGAGCTCTCCCGACTTCGGGGAGACAGAGCCACACGCCTCGGGGTGGACACTTCTGACCGCACCTGCCTTCACGGGCACCGGGGGAGGGGAGGGGAGAGAAGACGTCGGGGCCGCAGGGCAGGACCTGAAGGAGCAGCCCTCGGATGCAGGAAGCCCTGGGCCCAGGGTCACACTGCTCCGCATGAGAGGAATGGGACAGGCCATGGTCCACGCACGGGGCCACCTCCGTCCCAGCCACCACCATCCGCAAAGCCTGTGGAGGGAGGCAGGGCTCCTGTCACCGAGGGGACATGGGGCAGCCAGCTCAGGCTCAGGCCATCCCATCGTTGCCGTCACTGAAGCAGACTCTCAGGTTTAGTTAACCTGGAAATGCAGGCACCACCCCTTCACAAATTCTGCAGAAAGTGGGAAGCAGAGGCCTCTCGCTGGGGAACAGAGGGCCCACAGTCAGTCTCCCCTCGGTCTCCAAGGCGAGACTCTCCATGCTGGCATCTGACTGCAGGAGGCACGGGCACGACTGTGTCCCTGTGCACACACACAGTGCCCGGGCAGGAGACGACACACACAGCACCCGGACAGGAGAGGTAGGACCAGAGGCCCGGAGACTGAGGCCCACGGAGGAAAAGTCAGGAGCGGGCTTTGCGGGAATGCAGTGAACCGCATGGGCCAGGGAAGCTAAAATCCAAAAGTCAAAACTCTGCACACTCACTCGGCCCCCGAAACCCAAAAGGGATTTTTCATCTCGTCCTGAGAAGAGCTAAGGCAGGAGGCTCCCGGGAAGGGCGCCACTGAGTCATACGGACAAAAAACTGCTTTAAATAAGAGCACGAGGCCCTGAAAGTCTATTTTAGAGTCAAGATGCGAGAAGCCATCTTAAGCCATAGATCGCTTTATTTTCCCCAAACAAAAAGTCAATGCTGCCAATTATCGCCCCCCACGGTACGTTCATGAGAGCCACTCCCAAACTAGAGGCTCCGAGGAGGCCCACGACATCGGAGCCCAATTCATCTTATCTAATCAAGATGTTCCTAAATGTGACCACCGAGACCTTGGCAGGACACTCAGGAACACGGAGTGAACACAGGTGTCAGGAACTGTGGGATCCACTCTGGCCTCCCATGTGGAGGAGACCATGAGGCCTCGATGGACCCATCAGAGGCCACACGATGGGGGCAGAGCGGACTCCCGGATGTGCCCCGGCTTCCCCCAGAGCAGGGCAGACGCTGGCTTCACCATGGTGCCTGTAGGAGGCACTGATCTCAGGGAAGGGAGAGGCCGACTGAGACCCGCAAGGCTGGGATCTGTGACCAGCCCTCAGCGCGGAGCCTGCAGGCACACCAGGTTCAAATCGGCCCCCCCGGCCATGGCTGTCCCCACCCCATGCCCCCAGGAGGGACTGGAAGCCTCATGGGCGGCTCACTCGGATGTGGATCACAACGGTGGTTCCGCACCTCTTGTCCAACGCGAATCAAAATGTGCGTCGAAACTGACCACAGATTCAAGGCTTTCCCCAGAGTTCATCTTCGTCACATATGTTTAAAATCACCCAGCAAGCTGAACACACAGCAAGTTACTAACAGCAGCATGGACCCTTTCAATGAATTCTTCCCCAAGGAACACCCATTAAAAAAATATTCACAACGTAGAGAATTAACCTCGATACACTGTGGATCCATCATCATTAGTGCTGAGTCTCATTTAAATTAGGAGAAGCCTGCACTGATCTGTGCTAATTGACACAGATGGAGAAACCTGCCTGATGGTTTTGTGTAGGTGAACCTGTACCTGCACCACGTGCGGCCCAGTGAGAACTGGCTCCTTCCCCAAGCTCCAGACGTGAACAGCAAAAGCCCAGCCCAGTGTTTTCTGACACAAGGTGTCTTGTGTTAATCTCCTAGAAAAGAGGAAACTGCAGCATCTCCTGTGCAAATTCATAGAGCAAGTTATCTACGGAGGCCACTGTAAATGTATGCACATATTTTTGGAGAGGCAGCTTTGAGGTCTGGGAAGCTGAGCACACACTCTCTCTGGCTTCTGCATGGAGTCGGTCTCCGCAGTAACCACCTTCCCTCCTCACACCAGCCCGGGGAGGGGCGCGCAGCAGCAGCCGAAGGAGCCGGGAGATAAAGGAGCCCCCGCAGCTCTCCTGGAGCCCCGGAAAGAAACGGCACGCACAGGAACCGCTCAGCTGCTGCAGCCGTGCGTGGTGGACACAGCCCGGGCCCTTGGCCAGAGCTCCTCAGGGCGAGGCCGAACTCAGCATTGCGGGGGACGGGTCCTGCTTTCCTGAGGCTGGTTCTAACTCACCCATGAATGCAAAGAGCGTCTGTGCTCCTTCTATAGGAAGCCATGCGGGGACAGGCCCGGGCGTGGGCGGCGTTTGCCGTGGGCCGTGCAGCACAGGCAGCGGAGGGACAGCGGGATGCGGGCTGGCGCTGGGAGGCCTGGTGCCGGGAGGCCCGTGGGGGTGCCTACGATGTGTACGCCCACCAGCTGCCCTGCTGACACACATCTACATTATTCTGCGCCTCCCCCGTCCTCTGTCCTCCTCTGCCTCCCTCCAGCTGCGACAGTGACTAACAGAACAGGGAAGAAAACCGCCAACGTTCTTTCCTCTTCCAAGGCCGAGACACATGCAGATCCTCTGCTGTGCTCATCCAAGAAGGCCCATGTCAGCAGCCACCTAGGCACTGCGTCCAGCCACGGTCAACAGTGAGCCTCTAAGACAACAGCAGTCTGGCCAGCCTGCACACCGCCACGCCCAGCCATGGCACCCGGCGGCCTCGCTAGCACTTCTCACACAGCAGAGGGCACGAAACGATGACCCCTAGTCAAGATTATGTGAATAGCCACTCACACATGCAAGCACTTGACAAAACACAACCGTGTGACACCATGACCCAGGGCGTGACTGTGAGACAACACGCACACCACGTGACAACACCACAGTGTGACATGACATGACTGTGACACCATGACCCAGGGCGTGACTGTGAGACAACACACACACCATGTGACAACACCACAGTGTGACATGACATGACTGTGACTCTGTGACCCAGGACAACACACACACCACGTGAAACAACCCAGTGTGATATATGACATGACTGTAACACATGACCCCAAGGGGCGTGATGGTGAGACAGCCACACACCACCACCGTGACAACACAGTGTGACATGACAATGACTTGACACCATAGAACCCAGGGGCGTGAATGTGAGACAAACGATACACAACACACGTACGACCCACCACCAGTCGTGACATGACATGACTGGTGACTCCTGTGACCCAGGACAACACAACCACACACGTGACAACACCACAGTGTGACCATGACACATGACTGTGGACCTTGTGC